ATTTAATAGGGCACGATTTCTCTATCATTTTTTTTTGGGATCCTGAATCCTCATGATTGGCTGGGGCAATCATTTCCAATGTGAGGAATCAAAAATAGAACCGAAACACACACACACACAGCCCATTGTTTCAAATAGAACCAAGTAGAAGCTGGAAAGCAACATGGAGCATGCTCTGCTGGCAGGTGGCAGCGGCAATGGGCATTGGAAATGCAGTTGAGGCCCGTTTGAAAACACCAACAGGGTCCAGGTTAGCTGAACTGAGGGTTGTTTGAAGCACGTCATGGGGTACCCCCTTTCGAGGCCCCAAAAAGTTAACAGAATCGCAAATTTACATAATAGATTTAATAGGGCACGATTTCTCGATCAAATCTTTTTTGGATCCTGAATCCTCATGATTGGCTGGGGCAATCAAATATTTTTCAACGTGAGGAATCAAAAATAGAACCGAAACCCACACAGCCCATTGTTTCAAATAGAACCCAGTAGAAGCTGGAAAGCAACATGGATCGTGCTCTGCTGGCAAGTGGCAGCGGCAATGGGCATTGGAAATGCAGTTGAGGCCCGTTTGAAAACACCAACAGGGTCCAGGTTAGCTGAACTGAATGAGACAAGAAGCAGCCAAATGTCTTAGATTTGTATATGTTTTAAGTTTTTACATAGGTATTCCTTTTAAACAAGGGGGAGAGCAGGGTATTAACGGAGCGCTCGGTGGCAGAGACCCCAAAAAGCAGACGAATACCCTGCCTCTTACCTTTTTCTTTTTGTAATAGGCACAGTTTTGGGGATGAATTTATAACCCCTGAAGGTGTCCCATATATCTATTTACTGGATTGATTGCCCAACTCACTTCTTCTTTTTAAAGGGTGAGTTGCCCTATCAAATCCAGAAACATTATTTTTTAGGGTTGAACCCCCAGTGGATGGATTGCCCAAGTCATGGCATTATTTCAGTTCCTGTTGATGAGGCTTGACTTGCCCTTTCCATCCCAATCCACCAAGGGGATAAATAAAGAAACAGTGGCAAGGTGCAGTATCAATATTGCCTGGCAGGCACGGCATACAATTCTTCCTGTTTAAAAAGGGCCAACGGATGCGAGCGGATGCGAGTCGAGCAAAATCGGGGTATCATTTTGTAACTAGGGGTCAGCTTGGACTGCCATTTTGTGACAAAAACCTTCCTCGGTGAACGTTGGGTTCTGCCAACTTGTAAGAAGGGCACCTTAGGGACGCCATTCTGGAGCTACAAAATGGGGCTCCCAACCCCTCGGGTTTAATAGGGCACGATTTCTCTATCAAATCTTTTTTGGATCCTGAATCCTCGTGATTGGCTGGGGCAATCAAATCTTTTTCAATGTGAGGAATCAAAAATAGAACCGAAACACACACAGCCCCTTGTTTCAAATAGAACCAAGCAGAAGCTGGAATACAACATGGATCGTGCTCTGCTGGCAGGGGGCAGCGGCAATGGGCGTTGGAAATGCAGTTGAGGCCCGTTTGAAAACATCAACAGGGTCCAGGTTAGCTGAACTGAGGGTTGTTTGAAGCACGTCATGGGGTACCCCCTTTCGAGGCCCCAAAAAGTTAACAGAATCGCAAATTTACATAATAGATTTAATAGGGAACGATTTCTCGATCAAATCTTTTTTGGATCCTGAATCCTCATGATTTGCTGGGGCAATCAAATCTTTTCCAATGTGAGGAATCAAAAATAGAACCGAAACACACACAGCCCATTGTTTCAAATAGAACCAAGTAGAAGCTGGAATACAACATGGATCGTGCTCTGCTGGCAGGGTGCAGCGGCAACGGGCATTGGAAATGCAGTTGAGGCCCGTTTGAAAACACCAACAGGGTCCAGGTTAGCCGAACTGAGGGTTGTTTCAAGCACGTCATGGGGTACCCCTTTCGAGGCCCCAAAAAGTTAACAGAATCACAGATTTACATTTACATAATAGATTTAATAGGGCACGATTTCTCTATCATTTTTTTTTGGGATCCTGAATCCTCATGATTGGCTGGGGCAATCATTTCCAATGTGAGGAATCAAAAATAGAACCGAAACACACACACACACAGCCCATTGTTTCAAATAGAACCAAGTAGAAGCTGGAAAGCAACATGGAGCATGCTCTGCTGGCAGGTGGCAGCGGCAATGGGCATTGGAAATGCAGTTGAGGCCCGTTTGAAAACACCAACAGGGTCCAGGTTAGCTGAACTGAATGAGACAAGAAGCAGCCAAATGTCTTAGATTTGTATATGTTTTAAGTTTTTACATAGGTATTCCTTTTAAACAAGGGGGAGAGCAGGTTATTAACGGAGCGCTCGGTGGCAGAGACCCCAAAAAGCAGACGAATACCCTGCCTCTTACCTTTTTCTTTTTGTAATAGGCACAGTTTTGGGGATGAATTTATAACCCCTGAAGGTGTCCCATATATCTATTTACTGGATTGATTGCCCAACTCACTTCTTCTTTTTAAAGGGTGAGTTGCCCTATCAAATCCAGAAACATTATTTTTTAGGGTTGAACCCCCAGTGGATGGATTGCCCAAGTCATGGCATTATTTCAGTTCCTGTTGATGAGGCTTGACTTGCCCTTTCCATCCCAATCCACCAAGGGGATAAATAAAGAAACAGTGGCAAGGTGCAGTATCAATATTGCCTGGCAGGCACGGCATACAATTCTTCCTGTTTAAAAAGGGCCAACGGATGCGAGCGGATGCGAGTCGAACAAAATCGGGGTATCATTTTGTAACTAGGGGTCAGCTTGGACTGCCATTTTGTGACAAAAACCTTCCTCGGTGAACGTTGGGTTCTGCCAACTTGTAAGAAGGGCACCTTGGGGACGCCATTCTGGAGCTACAAAATGGGGCTCCCAACCCCTCGGGTTTAATAGGGCACGATTTCTCTATCAAATCTTTTTTGGATCCTGAATCCTCATGATTGGCTGGGGCAATCAAATCTTTTTCAATGTGAGGAATCAAAAATAGAACCGAAACACACACAGCCCATTGTTTCAAATAGAACCAAGCAGAAGCTGGAATACAACATGGAGCATGCTCTGCTGGCAGGTGGCAGCGGCAATGGGCGTTGGAAATGCAGTTGAGGCCCGTTTGAAAACATCAACAGGGTCCAGGTTAGCTGAACTGAGGGTTGTTTGAAGCACGTCATGGGGTACCCCCTTTCGAGGCCCCAAAAAGTTAACAGAATTGCAGATTTACATAATAGATTTAATAGCGCACGATTTCTCTATCAATTTTTTTTGGATCCTGAATGCTCATGATTGGCTGGGGCAATCAAATCTTTTCCAATGTGAGGAATCAAAAATAGAACCGAAACACACACAGCCCATTGTTTCAAATAGAACCAAGTAGAAGCTGGAATACAACATGGATCGTGCTCTGCTGGCAGGGTGCAGCGGCAACGGGCATTGGAAATGCAGTTGAGGCCCGTTTGAAAACACCAACAGGGTCCAGGTTAGCTGAACTGAGGGTTGTTTCAAGCACGTCATGGGGTACCCCTTTCGAGGCCCCAAAAAGTTAACAGAATCACAGATTTACATTTACATAATAGATTTAATAGGGAACGATTTCTCTATCATTTTTTTTTGGGATCCTGAATCCTCATGATTGGCTGGGGCAATCATTTCCAATGTGAGGAATCAAAAATAGAACCGAAACACACACACAGCCCATTGTTTCAAATAGAACCAAGTAGAAGCTGGAAAGCAACATGGAGCATGCTCTGCTGGCAGGTGGCAGCGGCAATGGGCATTGGAAATGCAGTTGAGGCCCGTTTGAAAACACCAACAGGGTCCAGGTTAGCTGAACTGAGGGTTGTTTGAAGCACGTCATGGGGTACCCCCTTTCGAGGCCCCAAAAAGTTAACAGAATCGCAAATTTACATAATAGATTTAATAGGGCACGATTTCTCGATCAAATCTTTTTTGGATCCTGAATCCTCATGATTGGCTGGGGCAATCAAATATTTTTCAACGTGAGGAATCAAAAATAGAACCGAAACCCACACAGCCCATTGTTTCAAATAGAACCCAGTAGAAGCTGGAAAGCAACATGGATCGTGCTCTGCTGGCAAGTGGCAGCGGCAATGGGCATTGGAAATGCAGTTGAGGCCCGTTTGAAAACACCAACAGGGTCCAGGTTAGCTGAACTGAATGAGACAAGAAGCAGCCAAATGTCTTAGATTTGTATATGTTTTAAGTTTTTACATAGGTATTCCTTTTAAACAAGGGGGAGAGCAGGGTATTAACGGAGCGCTCGGTGGCAGAGACCCCAAAAAGCAGACGAATACCCTGCCTCTTACCTTTTTCTTTTTGTAATAGGCACAGTTTTGGGGATGAATTTATAACCCCTGAAGGTGTCCCATATATCTATTTACTGGATTGATTGCCCAACTCACTTCTTCTTTTTAAAGGGTGAGTTGCCCTATCAAATCCAGAAACATTATTTTTTAGGGTTGAACCCCCAGTGGATGGATTGCCCAAGTCATGGCATTATTTCAGTTCCTGTTGATGAGGCTTGACTTGCCCTTTCCATCCCAATCCACCAAGGGGATAAATAAAGAAACAGTGGCAAGGTGCAGTATCAATATTGCCTGGCAGGCACGGCATACAATTCTTCCTGTTTAAAAAGGGCCAACGGATGCGAGCGGATGCGAGTCGAGCAAAATCGGGGTATCATTTTGTAACTAGGGGTCAGCTTGGACTGCCATTTTGTGACAAAAACCTTCCTCGGTGAACGTTGGGTTCTGCCAACTTGTAAGAAGGGCACCTTGGGGACGCCATTCTGGAGCTACAAAATGGGGCTCCCAACCCCTCGGGTTTAATAGGGCACGATTTCTCTATCAAATCTTTTTTGGATCCTGAATCCTCATGATTGGCTGGGGCAATCAAATCTTTTTCAATGTGAGGAATCAAAAATAGAACCGAAACACACACAGCCCATTGTTTCAAATAGAACCAAGTAGAAGCTGGAATACAACATGGATCGTGCTCTGCTGGCAGGGGCAGCGGCAATGGGCGTTGGAAATGCAGTTGAGGCCCGTTTGAAAACATCAACAGGGTCCAGGTTAGCTGAACTGAGGGTTGTTTGAAGCACGTCATGGGGTACCCCCTTTCGAGGCCCCAAAAAGTTAACAGAATTGCAGATTTACATAATAGATTTAATAGGGCACGATTTCTCTATCAATTTTTTTTGGATCCTGAATCCTCATGATTGGCTGGGGCAATCAAATCTTTTCCAATGTGAGGAATCAAAAATAGAACCGAAACACACACAGCCCATTGTTTCAAATAGAACCAAGTAGAAGCTGGAATACAACATGGATCGTGCTCTGCTGGCAGGGTGCAGCGGCAACGGGCATTGGAAATGCAGTTGAGGCCCGTTTGAAAACACCAACAGGGTCCAGGTTAGCCGAACTGAGGGTTGTTTCAAGCACGTCATGGGGTACCCCTTTCGAGGCCCCAAAAAGTTAACAGAATCACAGATTTACATTTACATAATAGATTTAATAGGGCACGATTTCTCTATCATTTTTTTTTGGGATCCTGAATCCTCATGATTGGCTGGGGCAATCATTTCCAATGTGAGGAATCAAAAATAGAACCGAAACACACACACACACAGCCCATTGTTTCAAATAGAACCAAGTAGAAGCTGGAAAGCAACATGGAGCATGCTCTGCTGGCAGGTGGCAGCGGCAATGGGCATTGGAAATGCAGTTGAGGCCCGTTTGAAAACACCAACAGGGTCCAGGTTAGCTGAACTGAGGGTTGTTTGAAGCACGTCATGGGGTACCCCCTTTCGAGGCCCCAAAAAGTTAACAGAATCGCAAATTTACATAATAGATTTAATAGGGCACGATTTCTCGATCAAATCTTTTTTGGATCCTGAATCCTCATGATTGGCTGGGGCAATCAAATATTTTTCAACGTGAGGAATCAAAAATAGAACCGAAACCCACACAGCCCATTGTTTCAAATAGAACCCAGTAGAAGCTGGAAAGCAACATGGATCGTGCTCTGCTGGCAAGTGGCAGCGGCAATGGGCATTGGAAATGCAGTTGAGGCCCGTTTGAAAACACCAACAGGGTCCAGGTTAGCTGAACTGAATGAGACAAGAAGCAGCCAAATGTCTTAGATTTGTATATGTTTTAAGTTTTTACATAGGTATTCCTTTTAAACAAGGGGGAGAGCAGGGTATTAACGGAGCGCTCGGTGGCAGAGACCCCAAAAAGCAGACGAATACCCTGCCTCTTACCTTTTTCTTTTTGTAATAGGCACAGTTTTGGGGATGAATTTATAACCCCTGAAGGTGTCCCATATATCTATTTACTGGATTGATTGCCCAACTCACTTCTTCTTTTTAAAGGGTGAGTTGCCCTATCAAATCCAGAAACATTATTTTTTAGGGTTGAACCCCCAGTGGATGGATTGCCCAAGTCATGGCATTATTTCAGTTCCTGTTGATGAGGCTTGACTTGCCCTTTCCATCCCAATCCACCAAGGGGATAAATAAAGAAACAGTGGCAAGGTGCAGTATCAATATTGCCTGGCAGGCACGGCATACAATTCTTCCTGTTTAAAAAGGGCCAACGGATGCGAGCGGATGCGAGTCGAGCAAAATCGGGGTATCATTTTGTAACTAGGGGTCAGCTTGGACTGCCATTTTGTGACAAAAACCTTCCTCGGTGAACGTTGGGTTCTGCCAACTTGTAAGAAGGGCACCTTACGGACGCCATTCTGGAGCTACAAAATGGGGCTCCCAACCCCTCGGGTTTAATAGGGCACGATTTCTCTATCAAATCTTTTTTGGATCCTGAATCCTCATGATTGGCTGGGGCAATCAAATCTTTTTCAATGTGAGGAATCAAAAATAGAACCGAAACACACACAGCCCCTTGTTTCAAATAGAACCAAGCAGAAGCTGGAATACAACATGGATCGTGCTCTGCTGGCAGGGGGCAGCGGCAATGGGCGTTGGAAATGCAGTTGAGGCCCGTTTGAAAACATCAACAGGGTCCAGGTTAGCTGAACTGAGGGTTGTTTGAAGCACGTCATGGGGTACCCCCTTTCGAGGCCCCAAAAAGTTAACAGAATCGCAGATTTACATAATAGATTTAATAGGGCACGATTTCTCTATCAATTTTTTTTGGATCCTGAATCCTCATGATTGGCTGGGGCAATCAAATCTTTTCCAATGTGAGGAATCAAAAATAGAACCGAAACACACACAGCCCATTGTTTCAAATAGAACCAAGTAGAAGCTGGAATACAACATGGATCGTGCTCTGCTGGCAGGGTGCAGCGGCAACGGGCATTGGAAATGCAGTTGAGGCCCGTTTGAAAACACCAACAGGGTCCAGGTTAGCTGAACTGAGGGTTGTTTCAAGCACGTCATGGGGTACCCCCTTTCGAGGCCCCAAAAAGTTAACAGAATCGCAGATTTACATAATAGACTTAATAGGGAACGATTTCTCTATCAAATCTTTTTTGGATCCTGAATCCTAATGATTGGCTGGGGCAATCAAGTCTTTTCCTGTTGGGGATATTGGAAAGGCCCATCTGAAAACACCAGCAGGGTCCAGGTTAGCGGATCTGAGGGTTGTTTGAAGCAGAAAAGTATGCATTTCTGACTCCCCCTTTTTTTCTCAAAAAAAAAAAGAAGGTCAGAAAAACACCTTTCTGTACATCATAGTTTTATCAGTTTGCAATCCTTTCTGTGCATCAACATGCAAGACCCGTGAGTTGGTAACAGAATCGCAGATTTACATATTAGGCTTAGAAGGTAAAAATTCACTATATACTGTTTATCTATGTTATAGAATATCATTCTTGGGTTGAAAGAGCTTTTGTTTCAGGATCTTTGTCGAAAATTCCTCGGCCAGGGGAATGCGGCGAACGCCAGTGGATTCAAGAAGAAGAAGGAGAATACGTACATCAGCATGGTCCATGTTAGCAGTACCAATGTGCATTGTATCCTTTTTATAGACCACCTTTCTAGAAGCTATGTTACTAAGAGAGTTCGTCCAACAGAGTGTACAAATGGGGTTGTGTGCTTTGATTTCCTAGGACCGAGTCCTGGACGACGAGGCCCAATGGTCAGTATGGGTTCTTCGATCGGTTTGCGACGGCAGTGTGCATGTGTTCTATAGGGACCGACTAGGAAAAACAATAATGTAATTGTCTGTTTCCCAACGGTTTTCCTCATTTTTGCTATGATAACTGATGTTTCACCAGCCTTTGCATACTTGTGTTCCAGGATTTTCCAGGTTTCAATCATTTCAGTGACAAAAAAATGTGTCACACGCATTTACGGTCCATGTTAGCCAACATGTTCGGCTGTGGAGGCTTCAACTGTACAGAAGGGTCTCTCCTTCGATGCCGAAATGATATGGATGTCCAAAGTGCCAAATGATCTCTGGGACAACTACAACACCAAAGACCGCGTTAAACGATTCTATGAAGGAACTGAAGCTATCTACGAACTGTCTTGGGGGACATCAACAAGTCTCATGGTGCATGAGAAGGAGCCGGGCCATGCAACAACATACCTGTACCATTTACTGTAGGCCATACTGTGAGTCATTTTCCAGGCGTACCAATGTCATACTGTATCATACTGTACTACTCTTGTTTCCTAAGTAAGTCTGATAACAAGATGTAGGGTCCAGGTTAGCGCTTGATCTAGAAAGACTTCCCAGGATTTCGACGGCGACGTGAAGGAAACTATGAAAGCGGTGTGCTTCTTGGCTGACTTTCGAGACTCCGAGGAGTTGACGTTGAAAGCGGAGAAGGTTGTTGACCCCAAGAAGGCTGCAGCAGCAGCTGGTGTCAAACTACTCCCTTCAACCAGGAAAGCCATGGTGATCGAACTCTTTCTGGAACACAGGTGTATCTAGGCTACATATTTCTGTAAGTTGTCACGTTCACACTAACATGGACACTAACAAAAGATGTTCTGTTTATGATTTTTATTCCACTCACTAGAGTAGTCATGGCTTTTCCTTTAGTCAGCCACGTAAGGCAAAGAGGAATTGCAAAACTCCATACAAGTTTATCGGCAGAAGCACGGCAAAGATGCTACAGCAGAAACAGCACAAATTGAAACAGTTGCAGAAGCAGTGCAGGGTCCTAAGCCAGACGCAGAAACAAGTGAAGTCACTAACATGGACCAAACAGCAACAACAGCAGCAGCAGCAGAGACAGCAGAGACAACATCACAACCTGCCAGCGTACCAGCAAATGAATCAGACAAGAAGCAGCCAAAAGCAAAGAAAAACAAAGAGAAGGAACCAGCGTCCAGCAGCAAGCTACCGGCAGGAAAGCCTTCTAACCAGAAAGAAGCAAAAACTGAGAAGAAATCACAAGGTAGCAGCAAAGACACAAAAACAAGCAAAGCAACCGAAACGATTTCAGCAGCAAAGCAAGCCAAGATAGCCAAGGAAGAGAAATGGAACAAATTAGTGGCTGAGAAAATCAAACAGACACAGATTGAGCATGGCCTTATTGAACCGGAAGCCAGCGCCACACAAGAAGTTCAGGACAAGCAGGTAGATCTTGGAGCACCAATCAAAAAAGAGCCAGGGGCCTCCAAGCGCTCAACTGAAGCACCAGCAAGCGAAAAGATCAAAAAGACTAGCCTTGACAGCCAAAAAAGCAAATCAGCAGAATCTGTGACAAGCAGCGCAGCTAACATAGATCTTGGAAAACAAGCCAAAAAAGAGCCAGGGGTCTCCCAGCCCAAAACTGAAGCACAAGCTAGCAAAAAGACAGCGCTTCCCAAAGCGGTTAGCTCTGACAGCCAAAAAAGCAAAGCAGCAAAATCTGTGGCAAACAGCAGTGCTAACATGGACGCCAGCGCAGCAGAAGCAACAGCAGGCACAAAAACTCCAGCTTTGGTTGTGGCCACTGACATGGTTTCAAGTGAGCCTGCAACCGGATCGGCAGCAGCCGGTGCACCAGAATCGTCAGAATTTGCAGCAGGCAGCGCTGATGCGCCCCCTGTGCCGGAGCCAGACGTCACCGACATGTTTGGGCCAGATAGCAATGTTGACACCAAGGTCACAGAGGACAACAATTCGAAAGCTTTGTTCACAGCTTGTGATCTAGTGGTCCCTGGGATTGCTGTGAAAAAAATGAAACAAGCAATTGATGACAATCCTGGGTCACTCTTTGTCGCAGTTCTCGGTGCGGACTTGGCAAAATCTTATCGTGCTGAGAAGCCAGGGGTTTCCAAAATGGTTCTGGGTGACTTGAACAAGTACGACGAGTCTTTCTGGACAAGAGCTTCTACCCACTTGAAGAAAGATCAGAAGGTCACTTTGATTATGGCGGTCCAGGGAACTGAACATGGATTCATTCCTGATGTACCTCGACTGTGGTGGAGAACGGTTATTGTCATAAATCAGCTAACATGGATTCTACAAAGTACTAATCCAGTGGTTCTACTGTATCGTTTTTTATGTTTCACCATTCTCGTTGTAGTCCATGGGGTCCATGTATGTCCATGTTAGGGATGTTGATTCTGTACTAAATACAGTAATGTATATTACTGCATATATGTTTATGTTTTTAAACAGCGCTGCACTATATATTTTTCCAGTTTTTGTAATGTACTGCATCATTTCCTCGCACCATCTAAGTTTATGGAACATTGCCCGGTGAGTTTGTCTCCTTCTGAGCATTACTTCTACCTTGAGATTCCACGTGACACTCCCCTGGGAACTGGTGAGAAAGATTTCTCCAATGTTACGTTTGGTGCCTATGACATGGATGGCAAACTTCTTGATCCTCCCCCAGAAGTCTACATTGTTCCACATGGTAGACTTGGAGTTCTCAAAGGTGGTTTGTACAATATCAGTGACATCCGTGATCCTCTCACGAAAGCGGACGTGGCTGAACTGGCTGTCGAGACTACGAGAAGCCATCTGGATCGAAAGAGGACTGGTCTCAGTAAGATTCCAAGTTGGCTGTAGCCAACCCTCTCAAGTTCCACTATACTGCTGTATGTGATTTTCCAAAATTTCCCAATGTTACACAAAATTGGGTGGGTAATGTACTAACATGGACGCTGGGTGGGCTCGAAAAAAAATATTGTAATCACAGTACTGAAGTGATCTCAAAGGCCAACCATATTCGGGCCCTCGCTCCAGTCAAGAAAGTGTGACTTCTGTTGCTGTACTGTATTGAAAAACTTTTGGAATTCAGGTTTAGTGGTACTAACATGGACCCTGAGGAGAACCTTGGAGGCTGTAGAGAAGGAGGTCGAGCACAAGCGGATGCGCCAATTGTCGAGTCTTGGAGAGCTTCAGGAGGTTGAGGGCAAAGCTGTGGAGAAAAAAGACCATTTGACCAAGCTGTTGCTTGCTTGGCGAAAAGTTCTTGAAAAGATGACAGATAGAAACCGGGAAGAGAAAGATGAGGGTCAGCCTTGGGTGGAATTTTTGACCTCACTGGTTGGTGGTGCAAACCTGGAGGCCCCATCCATTTTCCTGAACAAAGACATGGCCTATGTTGATATGATTACGCACATCGGAGGCAGGATCAATGCACTTCAGGCCCAAGTGAACAAAGCGACAAATGAAGCCAATAGACTGAGCAATCGCACGTTACGAAAGGAGGCAGCAAACACCAAGCTTCAAGAGAAACTGAAAAGGAAGGTAAAGGCAGTGTTCGAAGAGCCTGAAGTGGTTGAAGAGCAGAAAGCTTCCAAGAAGTACTTTGTCCTTGTAGGGCTCTATGGGGTTTTCGTTAGTCTTCTCTAGGTTTACTGTATTTCAGGAGTAGGATCCATTCCAAACTTCTGGGCCACATGTTGAAGTCAGTTTACGAACGGTCCATGTTAGCTGACTTGAGGTCTGTCCGAGGCATGTCATGGGGTACCCCCTTACCAAACCAAAAAAAGTTAATAAAATCAAAGATTTACATAATGGAGTTAGAAGGGAACGATCTCCATATCAATTGCTGTACTATATCATTTTTTGGTTGAAAGCCAGTGTGTTGTCATACGGCAACTTCAAGTTTTTCCATCGTTACGGGCAGTTGGCACTTCAACCTCCAAAAGTTTGTCAGATATGAAATCCAAACTTACATATATATATATATATATAACCCGTATCCAGGTTAGTTAGACTCTTTTGATCACCCATGTGTTTTCTGCTTTGAGGCAGAGACGCAGGCAGCAATGGCATGCGAGGCGTGCTCTCCGCAAAGGAAGGCGCAAGGAAGGGAAGCGTGGTGCTAGGAAGACTATGGATGATGGTGTTTTCCCCAACGAGTTGAACCAAACCCGGAGGTCTATCACGATTCAAGACAAACTGAAAGTTCTCGAGCTGTATGACAAACTCAAGGCACAGAAGGATGAGGCAGCAAAGGGATTGTTGGAGCCAAGACCAGGTGGTGCCACCAGGCAAGTCTTGAAACAACACTTTGAGAAAATGAAGAAGTTGAAAAAAGACTTAGCAAAATCCATCCAGAAAGAGTGCAAAGCAGCCTTTCCTGATGTGGTTGGAGGTGCCCAGGTCTGGAAATGGAAAAGAAGGAGTGAAGCCGAGGCCTGGCACCAGTTGCCAGAAGCCGTTCGGAGCCGTGCAGCGGCCACCAACAACATGTGGCGCTCAAAACTGAAGCTGTCGCTGAAGGGCCAGCACACTGGGAGCACTATCCCATATCAGATCCAGAGGGAGCTGGACCTCCTGATCATGGAAATGACTTCTGGAATGTCAGACGTCTCCGAGCGGAAGGAGATTGTGGATGTCGAGAGCATTGCACCTAGACATGCAGCTGGATAATTGTTGGCTTGCTAACATGGCCACTCACACGATGTCCAACCATTATGTACTGTAAAAATATACTGTATTGTACTGTACTGCACTGTTTTGTATAATACGCAGGCTAACATGGACGCTGCGTGTGGTTTTGACTGTTGGTTCCTGAAATTTTACAACAATGTGAATCTGTGGTAGTTGCCGGTTTGATACCAGTCTGATTCTCTAAGCGCGGCGTATGTGGACTGGGTCCATGTTAGTGAACAATGCGCCCTTACTTAGGCAGAGACAATCAACAGCTTGATCGATGACTGGAACTCCTCCTTGGATGCTTCTGTTGCATTGGTGACCGAGCACAATGCCAAACTTCAGTCTGACTTTGAGCAAGGGCTTTTGTCTGCTGAGGCTGTGCTGACGGCAGTTCAGCCAGTTCCAGTAAGGATCCGCTATCCAACCCCATCATGGATAAGATGGTGGAAATCAAGTTGGGGGTGGACACTCCTGAGTCGAGGAGGAGATGAACAAGGGTGGCTACCCTATTCCCATCCAGACATGGCTGCTGCCCGTCTTGACACAAAGCGGCTCTTTAGTGAGGACGGCTGCCACAAGTGGCTATGCTTGAACTATGACCAGATCTGGAGGAACGCTTTCACCCTGCAGAAGACTCGTCTCCTTTGGAAAGACCGTTCCTCTGCTGGAAAGAAAAGCTCAAAGAAGAAGATGCGCGCCCGTGGTGACAAGAAAGTCCACGCCATTCGTGGCGCAAGGAGGTCGATAACAGTTGCCTGCTTCATGTACTGTAAAACAACGATTCTTGTTACCAAAACCGCTAAGGGGACACAGCATCCATGTTAGCCTGTTTCGGATTCATTCCATTTACCGTACTTCAAAATACGGTATTGTATGAATGTCGAAACCAGCTGCACTCAGGAAAGCGTTTTTCCAAAATTGGCAAATTTCACGAACGGTCCATGTTAGCTGAACTGATGGCTGTCCGAGGCATGTCATGGGGTACCTCCTTACCAAACCAAAAAAAGTTAAGAAAATCAAAGATTTACATAATGGAGTTAGAAGGGAACGATTTCGCTATCAATTGTCAGTCCTTTTGTTGAAGTCGGCCACTTGCCATACTGACAACATCAATCTTTTTCAGAGTTCCACCACGCTGGGTCCATGTTAGTCTTCACTTCATCTCAGGTCCTGACATCAAGCTGGTCAGACGGCCGACCAGGCCCATTTGCCTACTGCCTTCCGGAAGGAAGGCTTAGTGGTGCAGAAATGGCTTCTTGGAACAAGCAGAACAGAGGGAGAAGCTATAGCATTTCCAGTGGCAGCAGCACACATTTCATGTGTGCAGAAAGCCTTGCAATCATTTTGGAGCAGCTCTATGGCCCAGCATTTGAGCTACAAAGAAAGCGGAACTTTGTCTTCAATAGCCACATTCTGTACAATCTATAAATGCTACTGTAGTTCAGAAGGTGAAGCATACAGTTCAGTTTGGTAAGCAAAAACAATATTTTTGCCAGGTTCTAGCTGTGTCTCTTTCGATCCTGTAGATCCCCTAACATGGACATCGCTTGCCCAGGTATGGATTGTCCTTGGAGGACAAAGGAGCATTGCTTTGTGATGCTTGGACTGGATCATATAGCAAAGCAGGTGGCATCGAGATTCGAAGGCTGGAATCACAACACTTTGCTATAAGATCCATGTTAGCATGCACCGGTGCATTTTCTGTCACAATTGGAACAAGCCCTCTTTCAATTTCAACAAAAAAACACAGATAAGATTTGAATAGTACTGTACTACTGTACGAAAGTACGAAACGTTGCACACCGGGTTGACATCCATGTTAGTTAGGGCTGCTGCTCGTTTCGCAGGAACAGCTGGTTCGAGATGAACAACGTACTACCCCCCCGGCGACAGCCAGGGGGGTGGTCCTCACATGGGCAACCGGTGGATCAGGTCCATTCTCACTATCGAAGACGGCTCAAGGCCAAGGATTTGGCAGGCACTGGCCAGTGCATGAATCTTCGAAACCGCGAGAGATTCTTGGCTGGGGTTTGCTATCTTTCTATATTGAATCATAATTGTGTTGTTTGTTTATTGCTATGGCAATGCATATACGAGGAAACTTCGGAATACCATGGAACCTTCTCAGTGTGTATCAACAATGTATCGGTATACAATATACAGTATTGCAGTACAGCATTCGTTCCCCACAGGTTACTGCATGGGATTGTCATGGATCCTCAATGTCCATGTTAGCCGGTTATGCCACACAACCCAGGATTTGAGAACCTTGACTTGAAGCCTTCCGGCCAGGCTTGTGATGAGTGCCAGTACCATAACATCATTTCACACTAAAAATCGTTTACTGTACCATCACTTCATTGATGGATTATGATGGAATGTGGATACCTAAAGAGTTGTTCAACAACCCGGTGATAATACCGTACTCAAAAATGTTACTGTACAATACACAGTCCAAGTTAGCCAAATACAGTCCAAGTTAGCCAAATACAGCGCAACATGTTACTGTACATGCCCACTTGAGAGTGTGTAAATAGAAGAAACAACATGTGTCAACCACAGCCTTTGCAGGTGGCTGCATCTGTCATGTCCTACCCTGACATCATGCACCACTCCACACTTGCATGGGAAGAGGTGAGCTTGGACGTGTTCCGGGCCGCATGGGTGGTGTGCGGCTACGTTGAGATGGATCATTTTGCGGGCAGTGAGAGCCCAACCGTCTTCGACAGCGTTGGTGCTGCTAAGCACATTCTGGAGCCATGCGGGGTCCTTGATGGCTCGACCCTCATGGCCACGCCCCAGTATTGCCCCACCATGGATTGGAGAATTCAGGACATTTTTTAACTAACATGGCCGGTTTGAATCAGTGTCATTGTTCAAAAAATAACAGTAAATGTGGCTGATAGATACTGTACCGGTACCTTGCAAGTTCAACAATGTTTCAATGCCTTCTAGGGTCTATGTTAGGTACAGCACAGTGATTCCCAAAAATTCTCAAATTCTGATCAGGATGCTACAGACCTCGAAAAGTTCCATTCTCTACCGTATGAAGTGGCACATGCCGTTGTCAGAACGCTCTGCCAGCACACACATGCCTACCTCGCAGCGAAAGAGCTGCACTCCAATCTCATCAAGGGTGATCCAGGTATGAAGAAAGCGAAGACAAAAAAGAGTTTGGATGAAATGAAACGGCTGGAGGCATGTGATCGCTTCTGTGTGCTGAACCGGCGCACAGGCTTCGTAGCGACGGCCGACTGGTTGAACAAACACATCAAGGTCAACTCTGATGGCCGGCCGGAACTCAAAAAACCGGAATCGAAATGCAATCCTTGGATCCTAACTTTGAGGGTGAAGGTGGAAGGGCTACATGTTAGCCTGCAATTGCGGCCTGCAAGCAACAAGCCATTTCGGGCTATCAAGTGCTTTGACCTTCGGCAGGGGTGTGAAAAGACCCTGTTGTCTGCTTTGACATCTGGCTATGAGCACCTGTTTTCTTCGGAGGACTGGCTACTGCATTGTCGTTGAAAGTATTTCAGGTGGTCGCTAACATAGACCACACATGGCTTTCAAGTGCTTTAATACTGCATATATGTTCCTTCCCAACATTCCTGTTTTTGACAGTTATTGAAACTGTAAAGTTTCATTATTCAAAAGGTTGTGCAATGAATGGTAGTTACTGTGATGCTTTTGCCCCAGTATATACTGTAAGCATTCTTCAAAATCCAAAAGTCTGGCTAACATAGACCCGTCCCAGCCCTGCAGGATGATGAGTCGGATCATGGCTCGGCAGGATCGCTTGGCGAATTCGACGAGGGTGAGAAGGAGGATGACGATGACTCCATTCCGGGAGACGAAGCAGGTTTGGAAGGACAACGCTTCCATGTACCCAGGTGTGCCTAACATGGATATTGTACGGTTTTGTCATATCAAATGTCAGGGTATCCTATGAAAAAAAAAGAATGCATGGCCCTAACATGGATCTTGTACGGTTCTATCATATCAAATGTCAGTGTATCCGGTGAAAAAATAAAGAACGCATGACCAACTAGGGTCCAGGTTAGTGCATGTATGCATGCAGTCCAGGACAGATGAATGCCCATATGGTGGACATGCAGATGGATCCTGCCCCTGAGACAAAGGCAGGTTCTGAAGACCCTGGAAAAGTCTGGGTTCCACAGGAAGCTGCCATGAAGGACATTTCTACCACGGTGGAGAAGAAATCCGACAAGAAAAGTGAAGATGAAGAGAATGTGATTTCTGAACAGGATATGATTTCTGTTATCCATGACAAAAGCGGTGTCAAAAGACAATATGTTCCCCCATCATATTTTGAGCGTGGGTCATTCTGTATGCTGGAACTAAAAGGGTTGGAGAAAATTCCCTTGGCCAGCGGATTCACGCTTTCGTGCCACACGCAGAGTGGGCAGTGGCATGCAAGATGGATGCGTGAACCACCTGGGAGCACCCAAAACTTTGCTCCCACGTGGGGAATTCAGCGATCGGAGCTGAAAGCTCTATGCATGGCTTTAGTCCAGCTCTGGGACTGGTACCTTTCAGTTCATGATGACACTGAGGGGAAAGAGCATCTGAAACGTCTCAGGGAATACACCGATGAGATTTTATTCTAGATGGAAACTTGTTTGTATTACGGTATCCATGTTAGCGGTCTAGGTTTTACTGCCACATGGCCAAACACCTGCATAGGACTATCTATCAACCGTCAAACCTTTGAAGATTTTGTACTACTTGTTTCCACCTTCTTCAGGGTCCATGTTAGGAACAGAGTCCTCATATATGTCTTACTGTAAAATTTCAAGTTGTCCTCAATGAAGGTTCATTTGATTTGGTTGTCTTTGGGTAACATGGATCCTACCAAAACTCTCTTTGGTGATAATTTGTGCCAATCGCCTCTCGAGAACCTAGCCGACAACAACTGGCCAGAATCTCGCAATCCGTCGTATGATTGGAGACTGTTTTGTGTCCATGTTAGGTTTTCCCCACAAAGTGCCGCTGAAAGCCAACCATCAAAGTTTATCCAAAGAGATTCCTGGATTTTCTGTTGAATCGTGGTTCTGCTAACATGGCACCACATTGTGGCTGATGTCTCCATCAATTTCTCTTGCACTTAGTTGACAAAGACCAAGATTGACGATTTGGGGGGAAAATGGCCGATCTCTGGGGCGGTTTTGCTAACATAGACTGTGAGGAGATCATGCTATCAAAGCTGGTTCAGGTCCTTGTTAGGTGAAATCTTGCCACAAAAATCTACTCCCAAAAATCCGCATTTTGATATCTCCAGAAAATGTGGCTAACATAGACCCGTAGGAACGAGGCTTGAAAAGCCATATCTGGTCCAGGTTAATTGAAAAACGGTTGAAAAATCAAAAAGATTGACAAACAAAGCTGCAACTTCTGTATCCAACTGCCTCTGGTCAGAGTCCATGTTAGCACTTTGGCTTCCCATGTTAAAAAAAAGTTACGCGTAGTTCCTGGGGAATGCAGATATTACCAGGACGGTACGGAGGTCCATGTTAGCTGACAGTGGGAATAGCATTTATATCCACGTTAGATTTCATGAGTGTATATAGATAAGATTAGGTTAGATTAGATTAGAACTAGATTAGATTAGGTAGATTAGATTAGATTTGATTAGATTAGATTAGTTAGATAGATTAGGTAAGATTAGATTAGATTATGTAGATAAGATAAGATTAGATTAGATTGGATAGATTAGATTCGATTGGATAGGTTAATTTAGTTTAGATAAGATTAGACTAGGTTAGATTAGATTATATAGATACGGCTGGATTAGATTAGAATTACGATTAGAATCAGATTTGATTAGATAGATTAGATTAGATTAGATTGGATAGGTTTCTATTAGATTGGATAGATTAGTTTAGTTTAGATAATATTAGATTAGATTAGATTAGAATTAGATTAGATTAGGTAGATTAGATTAGACTAGATTAGAATTAGATTAGATTAGGTAGATTAGATTATAATAGATTAGATTAGAATTAGATAGATAGATTAGATTAGGTTAGAATTGGATTAGCATTGGATTAGGTTAGATTAGATTAGATTAGATAGATTTTATTAGATTAGAATTAGATTAGATTAGGTAGATTAGATTAGATTAGATAGATTTAACTAGATTAGAATTAGATTAGGTTAGGTAGATTAGATTAGAATTAGATTAGTTAGATAGATAGATTAGATTAGATTAGATCAGATTAGATTAGATAGATTAGATTAGGTTAGGTTAGATTAGATTAGACTAGATAGATTTGCTTCGATTTGATTAGATTAGAATTAGATCAGATTAGATTAGATTAGGTAGATGAGTTTAGATTAGATTAGATAGATTAGATTAAGTTTGAATTACATTAGGTAGATTAGATTAGATTAGATTAGATAGATTAGATCAGATTAGATTAGATTAGATTAGATAGATTAGATAGACAGATTAGATTAGATTAGGTTAGATCTAGATTAGACTAGATTAGACAGATTAGATAGACAGATTGGATTTGATTATATTAGATTAGAATTAGATTTGATTGATTAGATTTGATTAGATTAGATCAGGTTAGATAAGATTAGGTTAGAATGAGACTAGATTAGGTAGATTAGGTCAGATTCGACTACTGTAGATAGATTAGATTAGATTCGAATTGGAATAGAATTGGATTAGACTAGGTTAGATTTGATTAGATTAGATAGATTAGACTAGATTAGATTAAATTAGAATTAGATTAGATTAGATAGGTTAGATTAGATTAGATAGATTGGATTAGATTAGAATTTGATTGGAATTGGATTAGATTAGATAGATAGATATACATGTATCCATGTATGTAATTTTTCCATGTGTCTATACACGTGGGACTCCCAGGACGATGATCCTGCCAGGTGGTGAAGCTTCTGGTAAACCAAAGCTCGGGAGAGGCCGGCTCTGGGCTTCAGTGGAGAAAATCCCATGGGTTCCGACTCGTTGACATGTTTGGGTTGATGTTGGGGGATATCACTGATATAGAAGTTTTCTGGGGAAAATAGGTTTCGAACATGTTGTATTTTCCATAATATGGGTTGTCATCCTTCCCATTGACTAATATATGGGATATCACTGAGATAACATGATACTCAAAGCAATCCCATATTAGGATGATTCTCCTCAAAAAACACCGCCAATATGGTTGAAAATTCCATCGTGTCATCTATGAATAGATATATGGCTGGTTGGCGGTTTGGAACATTTTCTATTTTTCCATATATGGGGAATAATAATCCCAACTGACGAACTCATATTTTTCAGAGGGGTTGAAACTACCAATCATAGAATTGGATGATGGGAAATTTTACAGGAAAGCCCTATATTATTTGATGGTAAAAACCATGGTTTCCTGTAGGTTTTCCCTTAAACCAATCCAATGAACCAAACAGTATAACATGATATATCTATAGGTGATAATAGTTGTTAGGAATTTGAAACCATGACTAGTTGAGGTTTGGGTTGATTTTGGGGGAGAATTATAGTTACTAAAGTTTTAGAAACCAACTTAGATAACTTTCTGAAAGAACCATCCCATGACTCGCAAATGGTTAGTGGTTGTGTGCTTAGTTGACCCATTTATTGGGAGAATCCACGAAGGGGGACTGAATCGATCACCATCGATCACCAGGGTTTTATTCACCATTTACTCATTGGCATGATCCTCCAAGCGCCTGAATTCTCAGGGATTCTCACCTTTTTCCCCCTAAATTTGGGTTTGTCTGAAGGTAGGGTACCTCACTATTTGATGCTTAATCATCATTTTCTCATGAACATGGCGCTATTTTGGGTTATACCCTTATTATCCGACACACCTCATATCCATTCTGCATTGGCCAAATCATTTCTAAACTCCTATTTTCTAATGGTTAAAGTTAAATTCCATTAAAGTCCCCTTTCTGATTGGTTCAATCCATTTCAATCTAACTGGCTAAGCTCATTTAAGTGATATTTTTCACATTTTTCACCTTAGTTGCAGGAGCTATTTCATCTCATTTACTGTTCAACGCCATAACTGTCAAATCCTTAAGACTTGGAGTCCTCATCGCTCAGGAGGCCTCCGCCGTCTCTGCAAGTCGCCCGGTCTGATGAGAAACAGGGCCCCAGTTTAAGATGGCAGTTTTTTACAGGTCTGAAAAATAGGATGTCTTCAAATTTGATGGTTAATCATATTTTTCATGTTTTTTTCTATATATCAAATTGCCATTGTTTATGGGAAATTTGAGTGTTTATCATGTTTTTCGATGTATGAAATTGCATTTTTTTTGAGGGGAGACCCCGTTTTCAGACACATCCATATGGGAAAATGGGATGAAAGTGGCAATTCCCATTTTTTATTTTTCAATATATTGGGGATAATGATCCCAACTGACTAATATTTTTCGTAGGGGTTGAAACCACCAACCAGTACTGGAACTGTCAGGCATTTTCTCAGAAACTACAAGGCTGCTGTAAGAAGCGATAGCTGATTCAATGGACACCAGGTGTCTGGTGTTGGCGTCCTGACCGTAGTGAAAGACATGACCTGGGGGCAATGGGAATTTTAGGAGCCTAAAATTGAAATGGTATATAAGAATCAAGATGTGGCTGGAATACCTGGACGCCATGACTTGGGGGTTGGAAGATGAGTTTCCAGCAACCAAAAGACCATTCGGAAATTCTTGTGTTCAAAAAAAACAACATAAACAACTGATTTCCACCATAAGTCCACTCCATGAGTCATAAACCCATCAGCCACTCCATCCTTGGTTAATCGGTCCATGTTCTCTATGGATCCACGACTGACTCAGAGTCCTCCCAGTGAGGCGATGAAATCCCATCGGCGCCATCGGAGGCGAGCCTGGCAAGCAAGGTGCGGGGTCACCAGTGTGTGTGTGTGTGTGTGCGTACATAGCAATATGGGTATGGGTCAATACCTATAGATACCATTTTTAATGGGATGAACATCCATTTACCAGCTATTTTGATGTTCACTAGGTACCAGGGTTTTGACACACTGCCATATATAAACAAATTAACGTTATATGTTGTCATATGTATAATATTGTATAATTATGTGTATATAATATATATATATATATGATAATCATAAGGAATGCCTATCCTAGTAGCGTAGAAAATTATACCTCATCACTATGACATATGTATATGTATATATACATACATATGTTTGCACATTATCCGTCCGTCCCTAAAAAGGTATGTATATAAATATATACATGAGATATGTTATGTGATATATACGACATACTATATTATGCGCTTGGCAATATATAGTAGAACGGGATATTAACAAACCAACCGTGGTATAGGGATATAACATCCAATAATGTGAAATTTGGGATTTCTTCCTACGGCTCAAAGCCTCCCCCGTTCGTTGAAGATGCAATTCTTTGGTATACCCCTTCTTCGGCAAACTGCCAGATACATTGGGTTCCAATGGACGCTTAGAGAAGTTAGTACATGTTTCCAATAGTTTAATCAGCGGGGAGTGTCATGTTTTAGATAATTGGGAAGATGCACATAGATAGAAAAACAGGTGCATAAACTATTGGCATACAGCACAACCACACG